GAGTCCTTAAACTATATTTGATCATGAGATTCGGATGTGTGGATTCGACTTACTCTCTTCGCTTTTGTTGTGAGGGCACATAGTTTCATAAGGAATAGGTAACATTATTAGACTTCTCTAGGATGTTGGGTGTTCAAGACATGAGTGCATTGGGACGTTGAGTTGGTTTTTGAGGCTAGGAGTGTTGTGAGCATGTTGTCTTTATTTGAATATTTTTGAAGAATGACATAAGTAAAGGGAAGTGTATGTGATTGCATATGTTAGAGTTTAATTATTGCTATCAACCATGATCATTGGTGTGGTGTGCTTCAAATGTGTAAATGTAAAGTGCTCAAGAATAGTGTGAATTGTTGGTTGACTCGAGGACGAGCAACGTTAAAGTGTGGGGTGGTGATGTTCGGCTAAAAAATACATATATTTAACTATTATTGCCTCACATTCTAGTACATATAATCATCTTTTTAAGTGTTAATTATATTATTTTGTGCTTAATATTATATTTTAACTGTGTAAGAATAAAGTGGTGTGAATATAAAGAGATTTGGAGAATAAATAAATAAAACGTGAAAGAAAAAAAGAAAAAAAAAGAAGAAGACAAGGGGGACACCCTTTGGTATTTGTCCCCCAAATTGGAAGACAAAAGAAAGAAGAGAAACAAAGCTAAGGCAAAAATTGAAAGAGGGAAAAAACGTGAAACCTTTCTGGTTTTAGCGCTAGGGCCTGGCCCGGATCTTGCGTGCGTTATTTTTCCTATTTCACCTGGGACAAGGTTATTTCGGCCCTACACGGTCCCAACTCGTATAAAAGGGGACCTAAACTTATTTTGGAGGGCGGAGGACGTTATTGAGAGTAACGTTTGACAAGGGGAGAGCATAGAGCCGCCGTGGAGGCTGGGTTTTATCTTTTCTTCCACTAAATTTAGTAATTTTTATGTTTCTTTGTATGATTTATTGTTTGGCTACCAAGTCTCTGTGGAGCTAAACTTTACGTTCTAGGTTTGTGGTTCTTTCATGACTATTGTATTTTGTCACGACCCAAAATCTCACCCGTCGTGATGGAGCCTATCTCGATACTAGGCAAGCTGTTAATGTCACTAAACTACAATTTCTTTTAAGTTTGAAAATATAATATTTAAATACAATACAAAATCTTCCAAATACAAATACAAGCACTCTCAAAAACCTGGTGTCACTGAGTACATGAGCATCTAATATGAATACAAATCTGGAAAAGTACGGTCTAATTTAGTCTAAGACCACAATACAGTAATACAGAGATAGGGAAGGAGAGACAAGGTCCTGCGAAATATGGCAGCTACCTCTAAATCTCTGAAAAATTAGTTGTACGGAAGAATCAACACCCGCTATGTCCGGGAACACCTGAATCTGCACACGAAGTGCAGGGTGTAGTATGAGTACAACCAACTCAGCAAGTAACAATAATAACTAAGGAACTGAAGAAAATGACGAGCTACACAGTTATAGTTCACTTTCAGTAATTCCAGCAAAGAATAGACATGCTTTCAAATCGAGCAGTTTAAGTCAAATTAATTTTATGCAGTTCATGTAATTCGGATATAAAATCCTTCAGAGATTTCACAACAATGACAGATAGCAACCAAATTCAACAACAAATGCAAAGCAAGTACAACCTCTCATGCAACAATCACTCAACTTATCACAACGGCTCAACCACTCGGCTCTCAGCCCTCAGCACTCACACTCAATGGGTACCCGCGCTCACTGGGAGTGTACAGACTCCGAAGGGGATCCTACAGCCCAAGTGCTATAATTTGCACGGACAACTCACGTGCCATAATATAATATCTAGATCCGCACGGTCAACTCACGTGCTGCACGACCAATTCACGTGCTATAGTATAATATAAGGATCCGTACGGCCAACTCACGTGCTATAGTATAATATAAGGATCTGCACGGCCAACTCACGAGCTATAGTATAATAAAAGGATTTGCACGGCCAACTCACGTGCTATAGTATAATATCTCACAATCAGGCCCTCGGACTCACTCAGTCATAAAGCTCTCCGGTCTCTAGGGCTCTCAACAATCATGAAATCAGCCCAAACAACAATGATATGACACATCAATAATGAATAATAGAGACTGAGACAAAATAATCAAGTAACTATGACTGAGTATAAAATAATAATTTAAGCAAATAATTCAACATGTACACGACCTCTGTGGGTCCCAACAATACCAACATATAGCCTAAACATGATTTTTAACATGACTTATAGTCAAATTTTCACAACACATAGAGAACACATAATTATCAACAAGTTATTTAACTTTACAGTTTTTACGGGACGGACCAAGTCACAATCCCCTCGGTGCACGCCTACATGCCCGTCACCTAGCATGTGCGTCACCTCCAAAATAATCACATGATACGAAAATCCGAGGTTTCATACCCTCAGGACCAAATTTAAAACTGTTACTTACCTCACACCGTGTAATTCTTTATTCCGCTATGCCCTTTCCATGAGAATTGGTCTCCAAAAGCCTCGTATCTAGCCACAATTAATTCAATTCAGTCAATACCAATTATTGTAATTAATTCCATAAGGAGATACTAATTTTTCTAATAAAATCCGAAATTTACTCAAAAATCGCCCATGGGGCCCACGTATCAGAACCCAAAAAAGTTACATAATATGAACGCTCATCCAACCACGAGTCCAACCATATAAATTTTACCAAAATCTGACACCAACTCGACCCTCAAATCTTCAATTAAAGCCTATGAAGATTTCTACCATTTTCAACCCAATCCATACCCATTTGAACTTAACAATATTTTTACAACCTTGTTGGTATGTATACATAATACTCTTATACCCAAGAATCATAATATAAATTACCCATTTTTACTCAAAACCCGAAATTGAAGAATTGAGGAAAGAAATTCTTACCTCTTTGAAGCCCTAGCAAGATCCTTGTGAAATCTTCAAACCTTGAACAAGAATTGATGGATAAATGACTAAGTCTTCACTTTCTCCCTCTAAAATGCTCTCACCTCTCTCTAAAATATTAGATTTTGACTAAAAAATAAGCGTCAATGGCTATAAATCGAAGTTGGGTCGAGTCAAAAATTAGAAAGAATGGAAGCTCTGACACAGTTATGCGGTCGCATATGCGATCGCATAACAGGTATGCGGTCCGCATACCGAACGCATAATTTGTCCTCCAAAGCTGGGCGTTACTGACCCAGTCTGCGATCATTATGCAGTCCGCATACTTGTTCTGCGATCGCATAATGCACCGCAAAATAAGTCTGCGGCCGCATAGTGTACCGCAGATTTTCCTCAAATCTTGCTCCTCTCCTGGTCCACTTTGCGACCATTATGCGGTCCGCAGAGTGATTCTGCGACCGCATAGTGATCGCAGAAATGACCCTTTTCCGAATAAAATTTTCCTTTACACATCGGTGTATTGTTCAAAATTTCTCCGAGGTCGTTACACATAAGTCAACATCCGGCTAACCTTTTCAACTTAAATTCTAAACCTTGGAACCGGACCCAAACCAATTACCCCGGCAAGCCAAATAAAAACTTTAATTCATAATTTAAGCAGTAAATAGGAAAACAGGATTATAATACTCAAAACGACCGGCCGGGTCGTTACATATTTAGATATTGATTTTGCTTTCTTGATTTATCATATTGGTTTATTTATTCAATCTTGCTCTTAATTATTTAATTGCTTTATCACCAATTGAATACTATCGACGAATCTAGAATTGAACTCGAAAGTGGGAATTCTAGATTGCACATAGGATTGAGTAGAGCAAGTTCTCGAACCCGGACATTGGGGAACGGATTCGCGGTTAAGATAGACATATACCTAATTGTCTTGCTTGGTTGATGTACAAGAATTATAAATGCGTTCTTGTTAATTCTAACTCCATAGACATATAAGCATTAGGTTAGATTGAATAGGTGAGTGAGAACTCGACAGATTCTTATGAGCAATATTAACCATGTCAATCAATAAACTAGATAAATTAATTAGTCAATTCAATTAAAGAATACAATAGTAATGTTAGATAGCCCATAACCCTAGATCGTTTTCATCGCATTGATAACATAAAAATCTACTCTTCTTTTGTTCAGAGTTCACTATTTATTTTTCTTTATTTTAATTAGTTTAGAATCAAATACTTCTAGGTTTAATCCTTGTTCAGATAATTAAGATAGTCTGATCTAGTTAATAGTTGATAACAAGTCCTTGTGGGTTCGATACTCTCTTATCACTTTATTACTTGACGACCGTGTATACTTGCGTGTGAGTTTGGCCGCAACATTATTTATAGAGTAATATTCTCCTTTTCAATAGAATGACTCTCTGAACTTCTTATCTTCTTTGTCTTTTCAGGTCTTGAATATTTTGAAAAAAGAATGATGTTTTCATGCAGGACCTGTGGAGATGCATTCCATCACCGAAAGTGGCATACGAGATGTAAGACTCACAAGTTTTGAGTTTTTTCGGAGAACGACCAAGCATTATCTTATTCCATATATGTTATTTTTATAATTCCAAATTTTAAAAGCTTGACTTAATTCTACCAAAGTAACTTCAATCTCTTTGCATTTTCCCTTTCCTTTAGAGAACTTCCATATCGAGAGAGTAATATACTCTTTGATTATCCATTTCATGTTATGATGCATTTATTACTTGATTTTATTTACTTTCACGTACTAAATTACTGAATGATTGGTCCTTATTATCTTTTCATGATTTGAGATTATTTTAAACAATGATAGGAAGAAGTGTGACTATATTATATTGAAAATTAAGTTAGCATATGACTGACATTTTAGACCATTCAATTTGAAATTTATTTAGACTTTGAGTTACATTGTTAATATTTTTTTTTTAATATTTATTTTTATAATTAAACACGTTTTTACTTAAATTTTTTTGTACAAATTAATATGGGATTCACGCGCAATGCGTGTGTTCAAAAACTAGTCAAAGTTAAAAAGTATGAGTTCGAAGCTATACTATAGTTAAATTGGTTTACCACAACATACACTAGAAATATGTGTTCTACATCCGTCCCTGCATGACATATGCATCTACATGACGGAACAAGCATTAGGATTTTCATCACTGAACCACTGAGGGGCATATACATAGTGAACAAAATATGGAGCTACACCCTCTTTGTTTTTTGCTTCTACTTTCTTCACTTCGTTAAATTCAACAATCTTTTCTGTCGTCGTTTTCACTTCAACTGTCACTTTTTCCTTCTTTTCCTCCTCTTTCTTCTTTATAATTTCTGCGTGTTTGCGGAAAGTTTTTTGCACATATGTCACAACTTTTTCTGACTCAAGAACTGTCTCAACTGTTATAGTTTGAGCTTTGAAGTCTGTTTTCACGTTATGAATACCTGCAAAAAAAAAAAAGCATACATAGATGTTGAAATTATTGAAATAAAGTATCTCTGATAACACTAAAGATCTTGGTGGACTATGCATAGAGTTTTACCTTTGTGTTTGAGTAGCCTCTTCTTTAGGTCAAGTTCACACTTGTTGCAATGCATGTAAACTTTCAATGTTGTTGTCTTAATACTTTCCTTCAAGATCCAACAGAATTAAGTCAATCAAGGATCAACTCCTAGTTAAATAAATAATGCTTCTTATTGTACAATTTTTTTTTTATCTATTTTGTTTTTCACGAATTATTGCATTATGAAGAAAATGAGAATAAGCGTGTCTGATATGGCAATAGTCATTTTCCATAAAAATATTTTTTATGAGAGTTATTTCTGGTGCTTCGTTACCACAAAATATTTTTCTTAGAAACCATTTGTCATCGCAAGGGAGAAAAATGCTTCTCTTAGTTTTCGGTAGAAGTCATTTGCCTCACTTGTCATATATATATATATATATATACATGCAGGCAAATAGGGTAGCAGATGTGCTGGGTCGCTTTGGAAGATCAAGGACTATATTTGGAGTTGAAATGGATACACTATTTTGGACCGTTCCTCCTATTGATGCTTTGTTTACTTTGTGCAAGGACCTTTATGCACTACCAGATATTAGGCAATTTTTGATCGATAATTCTGGTCGAAAAATGTTATCGGAGTTTCGACGCCATTTTTGACCACCATGGTTGGACACTTGTTCACATTTAGTTTGCCTTTTTTGTTTGTAAATATTCGACCACCTTTTCTACAAAAGTAGTAAGAAACTTTCGTGCGAAAACCTGCAAAATTAGCTTCTGACGGTAATAATTGGTTAGGAAAGTCAATTCTTTTCTTTGACCAACAATTAAAAAAATTAAGGTTCCAACTGAAGTTGTCGGACTTTTATTTTTTTGAGATCTGATTTATTAACGACGCTGATTGATCGACCCGATTCGGTCTGTCATTGTAAAAATACAAAGTCTAATTTATTTTTTCAAATCCAATTCTGTTCTATTTCATTCTCCCTCTTTCCCCTCTCTATATCTCTCCTCTCTCTCTCTTACTCTCTCTCTACTTCTAAAATTGCAACAGAGCTCTTTTTGGTTAGTCTCTCTCTCCCTCTCTCTCATCCATCTTCTATGCGGTAGAGCTCATTTTGCTTGTTACCTTGCCCCGGGGCGGATTTAGGGGCGGAAGAGGTTCATCCGAACTCCTTTCGTCGAAAAATTACACTGTAAATATAAGGCAAAATCTATTTTTCACTTCTATATATTAAGTTTTGAACCCCCTTGACACAACCCAAAAGTGTAGTTCAGTGGTCAAGGGGGTTCAAAATCTTTGAAAGGTCATACGATCAATTCCCACTAGCTACTATCTTTTTTTTTTTCGAACCTCCTTCGTGGAGATCCAGCCTCCGCCGCTGACCTTGCCTTTATTTTTTTTATTTTTTTATTCTTTTTCAGTTACATGTTGCAATGACAATCAGGAGGAACTTGGCAGATCTTCGGCGGACTCCGGCGGCAACAACGACAATGTAGTAAGTACTTTTTTTTCTCTTTATTTGTTTTAGTACCTAATTCGATTTTATTGCTAATATTTCTATTTTCTATTTAGATTTAAAGAACATCTAATTTATTTTCTCTTTACTTATTTTTTGTATCCAATCTAGTTTAGTGATTAATGTCGCCCTTGGAAGCATCTTAGATAGTGTATTTTTGAAAGACTCGACATACCATGAGAAGCACCCTCCATATCTCTGCCTCTCTTTCCTTAGCCGGAGCTTTGCCCATTTAGTTTGCTAGGTTAGAATGAATTATGTGGATTTGATCATTCATTAGTCATATTCGGACTTTATACACATACACGCATAATCAGATTTAACTAGTATAATTATAGACATAGATTTTAGGATGAATATGGAATTTTGAGTGTCGGAGAATTTTAATTTGAAAGAATATAATATATTTTGAAAGTGTTTGGCATAATGCTAAATAAATTTCAAAATAGAAACCTTTAAAAGAACTTAACTTATTTATTTAAGTGTTTGACATAATGCTATGTAAAATTTTAAAATAGGAACCTTTAAAAGAATTTAACTTATTTATTAAAGAGTTTGGTATAATGCTGTAACGACCCGCCCGGTCGTTTTGAGTATTTTAGCCCCGATCCCCTAATTATTGCCTCATCTATGTTAAATTATGGTTATGTGATTTATTGGGGGTGTTTGGTTTTGGTTTCGGATGAGTTTTGGAGTGAAATGGGACATATAGTCCCTAGGTTGGAGCTTTAAGTTGAAAGAGTTGATCGTAGTTTGACTTTTGTGCAGATATCTTCGGAATGGAGTTTTGACGGTTCCAATAGCTCTGTTGGTGATTTTTGGACCTAGGAGAGTGTCCGGATGTTGATTTGGAGGTATGTAGGTCGTTATAACTTGAATTGGCGAAAGTTTGAAAGTTGAAGTTTGGAAGATTAGAAAGTTTGATCGGGAGTTGACTTTATTGATATCGGGGTGGGATTCCTATTTTGAAAGTTGGAATAGGTCCGTCGTGTCATTTATGACTTGTATGCAAAGTTTGAAGTCAAACAGAGTTGTTGTGGTATGAATCAGCATTAGTTTTAGAATTCGAAAGTTCGTAGTTTCATAAGCTTAAGTTGTAAGAGTTGACCGGAGTTTGACTTTTGTGTAGACGGCTTTGGAATAGAGGGGTTCCAATAATTTCGTATGGTGATTTTGGATTTAGGCGTATGTCCGGATGTAGATTTAGAGGTTCGTAGGTTAGTTTGGTATTTTTGGCGAAAGTTGGAAAGTTGAAGGTTTGGAAGGTTGATAGGTTTGGCTGAGAGTTGACTTTATTGATATCGGGTTCGAATTTTAATTCTGAAAGTTGGAATAGGTCTGTTGTGTCATTAGGACTAGCATGCAAAATTTGAGGTCATTCAGAGTTGATTTGGTATGGTTCAGTATGGGTTTTAGAAGTTGAAAGTTTATTAGCTTCCTTAGGCTTGAAGTAAGGTGCGATTCGTGATTTTGATGTTGTTTGGTGTGATTTGAGGCATTGAGTAAGTTCGTGTTATGCTTTAGGATTGGTAAGTGCGATTAGATGGAGCCTCGGGTGTGTTTCGAATTGAGTTTGGACTATTTTTGGGCTTGAATGGACTGTTGAAGAGTTTGGCTTCTGGCATTTTCGCATTTGCGGTGGCTTGGCCGCAGATGCGGAGCTGCAGGTGCGGCCGTTTGAGCACAAGTGCGGAGGAGGAGGCTGGCGGAGGTAGTCCGCAGATGCGGAGCTGCAGGGCGCAGGTGCGTAAGCGTAAATGTGCAATAGCTTCCGCTGAAGCAGAGCCACAAAAGCGGATGGATGGGGGATTAGTTGTTTCCGCATCTGCGATGGTATTTCTGCAGACGCAGCATCGTAGGTGCGAATATATGGACCGCAGGTGCGATTTTGCTGGGCAGAATTTAATAGCGAAGGTTTGGTCATTTTTCTCATTTTTTGAATTGTGGAGCTCGGTTTAGGGCAATATTTTGAGTGTTTTTCATCACAATTGAAGGGGTAAGTGATCTCTACTTAATTTTGGAGTTAGCTATTGATTATCCATTGATTATTACATCTAATTTATAATATTTTAAGGTAGGATTTTTGGACTATGATATTGGAGAGTCGATTTGAGATTGAAATTAGATGAAGCACATATTTTAGGACTCGTATCGTAGTGGGTATTCGGAATTTGTGAATTTGGACGTGTTCCATGATGCAAACCTAGGGTTGACTTTCTGATTTTGATTAAGGATCTTAGCTTTAGCATTTAGAATCGTTTCCTATGTCTTTTATTGATGATATTAAGTTGTTTTGGATTGATTCGAGCCATCCGGAGGATGTCTCACGCAGGAAGGGCTTTCGATTTAGCTTGCTTGAGGTAAGTATCTTACCTAAACTTGGTTGAGGCACTAGTTGCCTGAATCATTTATGATAGTTACGTGCTATGGGTGGCACACATATGTGGGCTACGCCTATGTGCGTCCACCGGGTTATATTTCATGCTTGGGATAGTGCTTAGGCTATGATATGCCTTAATTTGATTGCTAAGCTTTATACTGTGATGTTTCTCCTATTTGTACCCTTTTTGTGAGCTATTTGTATTATATTTGAGGTTACGTTGAGGTTACTCTCCCGATTGAACATGATAAATTGCTACTTTCGTGATGTATTTGCCGGATTGAGTTATGATAGCACACTTTGTACATGCATACATTTTAGCATGTCATTTATATCAGTCAAGGAGTATGAAACTTGATATTTATTGATCATGTACATGTATTCTTGTATATTTGCTTTCTGTGTGATATGATCTGGACTGGTAGCCAGTGACCACGTCGGGCGGATTGTGATATTGAGACTGTGACCACGCCAGACGGATTACGATTATTGGTACGTGAGTTGTCCGTGCGGATCTAGATATTGATATTATTAGCACGTGAGTTGTCCGTACGCCACGTGAGTTGTCCGTGCGCCACGTGAGTTGTCCGTGCAGCACGTGAGTTGTCCGTGCAGCGTGTGGATATGGATCCATCCCCCTAGGGTCACCCTCTCATGTTCTTTCTTGATGATGTACACACGGTTGTTGAGAAAAACTGATAAGTGGTTTGGTACTGAAATAGTAATATTGAGGAAACGTTTGTCGGTGTTTGATTCGGTTGTTGCATTTCATCTTTACTTGCGACTTCCTTGACTGCTATATGCTTTATTTGCATATCTTCTTTATATGCTGAATTTTTGACTGAGCAGAGTACATTAAGTAATTGTGTGTACCAAGATGGTTATTTCTGTGATTCATGACTTCAACATATTGTTGTTCTGTACTTGTTGGATTTATGAATTGTACAGGTGATTAGCGAGTATTATTATAATTCTTACTTTTATTACCTCGCCGAGGTTAGTTATGATACTTGCTGAGTACATGGGGTCGATTGTACTCATAGTACTCTCCGCACTTAATTGTGCAGATCCAGGTGTCGGACTGAGTTGTGGCTAGCTGTGAGGTGTTGTTGTGAGCATTTTGGAGAGACGAGGTAGAGTTGCATCCCGACCGTAGTCTTGGTGTCTCTTTTCCTTTTGTACTGTTATTTTCATTCAAACAGTATCAATATTCTGTATTCCAGACTTGTACTTTTTATTAGAGCTCATGACACTGTATTACCATTTCTTGAGCGTTATTGTATTTCAAATCAGTTATTCATGTTAATACCATTAGACTTGTACTATTTCTATGCTATTTCTGTTATTACGTTCCGTTGTTATGTTGACTTGCCTAGTAAGTGAGTTAGACACCATCACGATCGGTTGTGGTTTGGGATCGTGATAGTTTTTGACCGAATTTGTCGGAATAGTGATTCTGACCAATAATTTTTCGACTGATCAAATTTTGTCGAAAACGTCGAAAAATAAAATTTTTGACCGTTTTCAATGATTCCGGTGGTCAAAAATTGCCTAATTTCTGGTAGTGATGGGACTATTTCAAATCAACTAGTCCCAATTTGTAATAATCTTAGTTAAGACTACTTGTCATGCTTTCAATAAAATCCATCTCCTTTAGCAAAAAAAAAAAAAAATTTCTATTTCATACTATTTATTCTAGCTAACACTTGAACATTTTTATTAATCTTAAGGACGCAAATATCTTAACAAAACACTCTCCGATTTGATAACTATGAGTAACTGCTCATAAAAAGTCAGATTACTTGCTTGAGAAATAAGATTGATTACTCAACAGGTTAAAACATACTAATAATACGAAATTCTTTACACTATTAGTATATATAAAATTACTACCAAAACAATACTAATTTCCGATGAAAATATCTGATTGAATTTGTTGGTAACATCTGACAAAATCCATAGGAAATTGGCTAGTCGGTAACGTTTCGATAGACTTTCCGATCGAAAAGCCCTTCCCAACAAACCAATTTTAGACGAAATATATATATATATATATATATATATATATATATATATTTGGTAGTGATAATTTAATGGCTTTATGTTTTATTTAGTAAGGTATATGCCTGCTTACCTTTTTCACTTCCTTCGTCTTTTCAACGTCTTTAACCTTCGTCTGGGATACAATTTCGACTTTCTTTTTACTCCATTTCTCTAAGCGTTGATGAATTTTCTTTGCGTCGATAGCTCCTTTTACTGCAACTTCATCTTTCTCAAGTTTCACATCCACAGTATGAACTCCTGGAGCCATGTTAAGTTGTCATGTCAAAGCAGTGGTGACTGATGAAAATACAGAAAACAAAAGCAAGATTCTTGAACAAAGGAAGAAAAACAGGAAAAGAAATTTCATTTTTTCAAACAATAAAGGGAAAGAGGTCAAAATTACTACTCTATTGTATGAAATATTTTAATTTTACCTTTTCGTTATACTTTAGACCATTCATGTTTTGATTTTACCAATTCATATTATTTCCGTTAGTCAACCATCTCGTATTTGTCTTAAACTTAACATATTGTAACTTTTTAAACTATAGTCAAAAGCAAATAAGTTTATTTGGACCTTTTTTCAAAATATTTTGACATTTGAAATCCAGGCTCAGTCCACATCGGAGACTTATTAAGAATAAGGACAAATACTAACAAATTTAAATATTCCGTATTAATTAATTATAATAAAGGGATCAATTTGGACAGCCTTTTCCATTAAAGAATCTTTGAACTGTCACTTTTCAATACATTGTTTTCATCTTTTTAATAGTCATCCCTTGCTTAAGGGAAGGTCTAGCATATAATTTTCTTCTTCTTGATCGAATTGCTCTATCTCTCATCCAGCCCTTCCTCCAAAACGGCGGATTGGACTTGAAAAACTAACGTAGTACCAATAAAAAAAAAGAAATAAAGAAATAAATAAGTTAAAATTAAAGTTACCTTGGGTCCTCATTAGAGGTCTTCTAATATCATGTGCACATTTTGGGCAGTGGAGACGAACTTTGTAAATTGCAGTGATTACCTCTATCTTTTTCTCTTCTTTAGACATGGCGACCCCTCAGCATTTACTAAAAAGAATAGATCAGAAAAAGGATTGTTCATTCCTTTGATTTCGTTAAAGTACTTGGCAAGAAAATTGGTTGGTGGGAATTAGCAGCCGGTAGTTTACTAATATGTGGAAACTTCATGCATGAGAATTTGAATTTAATTAGTAGTAGGTTGTAATCTTTTGTACCTAAAATGGTCATAGGAAACAAAAAGATTTGGCATCTTTTTTTTTTTTCTTCACCTCCTTTTTCAGTTTAATTTTTATTTATATAGCTATATTTTATTTTTCACTCAATGTCGGTATCTGTTTTAGGGTCCTGACAAATCGAACTTGCCTCAAGGCCCACTAAAAAAGGAAAGCGCTTCATATCAAAAATAGAAAAAAACTACACGACTAAGCCACAAATAAAAACACTTTACCTACCAACAATTAGCCATTAAGTCATGCTACCAAAAATAGCCATAAAAAGTAACCAATAAATTCTTTTTTGATGTGTATGGTTAAAATACATTGAATATACGTAGTTGAGGCAATATACAAAAAATTGAGGAAGATTGGAGGTAATTTAGATTAGTTTGAAGTCAAAATTCGTTAGCAATGATACAAACATTCAAAAAACCTAGACACAAAAGATTCTTTTAATGAGTATGATTGAAATTCGACGGAGATAATACAATATACAAAAATTGAGAAAGATTGGAGGTGATTTGGAATGGTTTGGAATCAAAATTCATCGTCGAAATCAAGCATAAATTTGGAGTCAAAATTCATTGTTGAAATCAAATTTAATTTTTTTTCCTGCGGTATATGTATCTAACTTGTATCTCATGCATAAGTATACATGAATATACATGGAATACACATTTGATACATATGTCACTAGATCCTTCATACTCTTACTAAAGTACACTTAAGACTCAACCAATCTTGAAAGTTCCGTGGACAACTGGCATACCTTGAATCTAGCCTGCAATCCTTTTGCACTTCTCTTATCAAATTTCTAGTTAGAGTGAGAGCTATACACACGTGATACATGAAAGATACACAGTGTGATACACATCTCATCTTCTTCCATGTTCATCTACTACTTCGAGTTATCAATTTAAACCACCTCAAATCTGCACCAAATTATCTCAAAATTAATGTTCAAGCTCCTTAAGATGTTTCTAACATAATCGAATAACATCCAATCGAAATAAATCACAATTACACAAATTTAAAATTTTAACCCAAGCACCAAGTTTGTTCAATGGGTTCCATTGGAGTTTTTCTTCTTCACTTTCCAAGTTTCTTCATTGATTAGTTCAATCGTTTAGATGGTTCTTATGTCAAATAAGCTCATGCCAGCAGTGTGTCTAGTCTTTCACTTAATCGAATAACTTATTGGAACCACTAACTCCCTTGGGTCTCAATTTGTTAAAGGTAAATATTGTAGTAGGTACCATCCTTTTTTCGGGAAATGGACTGCTGGACAATCTCATAGTTAGCAAGCCATGTGCAAGATCAGTATGAAATGGAACAGAATATTCTTTGGAGAATTGGGAAAGGCGATATCAGATTTTGGTATGATAACCGGACTAATTTTGGTTCATTAGGTAGCAGTCTCGATGATGATGTCGAACATGATAACACAAGACTTTGTGAAGTTTTCACAAATGGAGAATTGGACTGGTCGTGCCTCAAGATTCATCCTCCAGAATCTGTCAAAAATATGTCCCTTTCTACTCAGTTTTCCCTAGAACAAGAACTTGAGGATAGCCCAGTTTGGACTGTCAATTAAACTAGGAAATTCTCTGTTGCCTCCGCTTGGAACTGCTTTAGACAGAGAAATGAAGTTTCAACCTTTGATTCTAATTTGTGGCATAAGGATGTGCCTTTCAAGATTTCTTTCTTGGCATGGAGGGCGGTCTATGATAGAGTGTCTAATGATGACAAAGTAGCTAGATTTGGCTACCCGCTGGTCTCCAAATGTTGTTATTGTCCAGCACTTACTATGTTGCCAGGAGCTGAAACATGTGAACACTTTTTTCTACCGACCATTTTTCACAAGAACTCTGGGGTCTCTTTGCTGGATTGCTGGAAATTCCTTTTTCAAAATTTTCAATAAGAGTCTTAATCTTAACTGCTGGAATTTCAGAACAAAGAACTCTATTGTCTCATACGTCTGTAAGATTTTGGTCCCTATTATTCATTAGGAGTTGTGGAGGTCCAGATGCAGCAGTAAGTATGATACAGAAAGGCCTTCTATAACTAGATCTTATTCCTTTGTTTCTTTCAACATTGTGCAGATTGTAAATTCTCACTTTAAGATTAGTTCAGTTGGAAGTTCATGGGAGGACATATGTAATGTAATGACCCAATTTGAGCATATGAATTCAGTTAGGTGGTTTTAGATCACGAGTAGCTTCATATGATATATTATGACTTGTGTGTATCGTAGGTTTTGGTTTTCGAGCGGTTCAGGATCGATTTGCAAGAATGATTCTCAATTAGGAAGCTTTAAGTTAGAAGAGTTGACCAAGTTTAACTTTTATGTATTTGACCACGGATCGGAGTTTTGATGGTTCCATTAGATCCAGATGGTGATTTGGACTTGGGCGTATGCCTGGATTTGCATTTGGATGTCTCTAGAAGAGTTTTGGCTTTAAATGGCGAAAGTTGACAATTTGAAGGATTGGAAAGTTCATAGGTTTGGCCGGGAGTTGAATTTGATGTTATTGGGTTCAGAATGTTGTTTTGGAAGTTGGAATAGGTTCATTATGTCATTTGAAACTTGTGTACAAAATTTGAGATCATTCCGAGTTTATTTGATATGGTTCGATACGAGTTTTGGAAGTTGAAAGTCCATTAGTTCATTAAGCTCGATTTGAGGTGCGATTCGTATTTTTGATGTTGTTATGCATGATTTGAGATATCAAGTAGGTCCGTGTTATGTTTTGAGACTTTTTAGTATGTTCAGACGGGATTCTGAGGGGCTCGGGTGAGTTTCGGACGGGTTTCAGATTATTTCGGATCATGTTGGTTATTGATGGTTTTGGCAGGTACCTGGTGTGGTCGCATCTGCGGAGGATTGAACGGAGATGTGAAGCCACACCTTCAGAGGGCTTTGCGCACCTGCGGAATTTGGGTCAGACTGAGGGTTTGTGCTTCTGCGCTTGAGGGACCGCACTCTGCGGCTGACTTGTCGCAAATGCGGTCAACGATCTTTTGAGGGATTCTCGCAGATGTGATAAGGGGACTGCATAAGCGGTTGTCGCAAATGCGACTAAGTAACCACAAATGCGGATTCCTTGAAAGGTTATATTATATATCGAGGGTTTGGTTATTTCATCATAGTTGGAGATTTAGAGCTCGGTTTTAGGTGATTTTGGAGAAAATTTCCTTATTTGGACTGGGATAAGTATTTAAAACTCGATTTTGATTATTTTACATGTTTCCATCTTCATATTTGGCATTTGGTTGGTGAATCTAAAAGAGAAATTGAGGGTTTTTGTATAATCTTTTCTAAAATTGAATAATTGAGTTTTGAACATCGATTCAGAGTAAGATTTGAGTGAAATTAGTATGGATGGACTCGTATTCGAATGGGTTATCAGAATTTGTGAGTTTTTTCTGGTTTTGAGGTACGGGCCCGGGTTGACTTGTTGGTTAACTTTGAGTATTTGATTAAAGATTCGACCTTTATCGTTTGGGTTTGTTTCTTATGGCATTATTTGATATTTTTGAGTTGCTTTTGGCTAGTTTCGGGCCATTCGGAGGTCGGTTCGCGCGGGATGGCATTTCTAAAGTATTATTTTGGCTTGCTCAGTATTGGTTTGGCTTGTTTGAGGTAAGTAACATATCTATAATTGGATTTGAGGGTAACTATCCTTGAGAACTATGATATTTAAGATGTGTTAGGGGTGGCGCACATGCTAGGTGACGGGCATGTGTGCGTGTACCGAGGTATTCATGATCCGGGTAGTTCTTAGGCTATTATATGCCTTGTTTTGCTATCATACTTCTTTGATTTCATGTTTTCTCCACTTTTATGACTATTTGAGTTATTATCCATGTAAGGGATCATGTCTAGGCTATCTGTGTAATTATTTGAGGCATGATAAGGCTATTTTTGTCATGTTGAGCTGTTTGCCATAGTCATAGTTATAATGTTCAGTCATGATAGTTATATCTGCATATTATATCTCTATTTTCGTGCACTTCTAGTATGATGTCTCACATTTTATTGGAGTCCTTGTACGTGATACGAGTTTGAGCTGAATTTGTGGCACTTTGTGTTATTTCGTGTCGTGTAATTAAATTTTATTTCTGTGAGATGTTGGCATATGCAAACTTGAGCAGATTGATGAATGACATGGGCCATAGAGCCGTATTGTGAGTGATATTTGGTTCGAGTTGCACGATGTAACAGTTATATTGATATTGAGGTGGCGCGTACATCAGGCCACACATTGGGCTAAGTGGTACTGATTTTGAGGCTACGCGTGCACCAGACCACACGATTAGGCTATATGATATTGATTAGCGTTTGGACAAGGATCCGCCCCTCTGAAATTTGATATTAAGATGAGCGCATGCACAGTGATTATTATGTGTTTTGGTGAGGGGCATTGATGCCAAGCACCCGCACAATGCTGAGTGATTGTGTGTGATGTTAAGGGGCTTTGGGCCAGGCAATTGTACAATGCTGAGTGATTGTATGTGTGATGAAGTGGGGCATTTGAGCCAGGCACCTTGAGTGTGCTGAGAGTGAGTGTACTTGATGATATCACTGTGAAATTATTTACTTGATTGGTATGTTTGACATGTAGGCATAGAGATGTATTTTCCTCATGCTAGATGGTAATATGACATTTGATGACTTGACATGTATATTAATATAGGCATAAAGATGTATTTTACTTGTGCTAAATGATAATATAACATTTGATGACTTGTCATGTATATTGACATGTAGGCATGGAGATGTATTTTTCTCATGCTAACTGGTAAAAAAAAGGTCTTATCTAATGTTGTGAATT